GTATAGAAGATTCTTTATGTCTATACCATAGGAGTGGTGTTTTGCCCGCGACCCAATTTAGTATACAGATTAAAAAGAAAAAATGCCATAGTTACTTTGGTTAACTATTATTAGTATGAATGAAACAACCAAAGCCATTTACAATTTTCGATCTTGCTCACTCTTTTGCTTCTTAACTATGCATTTCTTTTTTCTTGATGCTAGAATATTTGACATGTGTGTGCGCGCGCGCGAGCATATAGTATAAACACACAATGCTTAACCACAAACGGCATGGATGTGTCGAGTGACCAAATATGCACATACTTTGGCAATGGAGTTAACCATTTTGAGGCATATGGTTGATTTGATTGAATGAGTGTGTAGTCATTTTAATCAATAAATATTAATTTGTGTTGAATTTCTAGTACAACATAGAATATAATATGATATGAAGAGAGGATAACAGAGGTGGGGTAGCTTAAAAGGGCGCACCCAAAAAAAATGGCATCCGACTCATACCCATGATTAATTTTTATGGCTTGTACATTGCTGGTTCCATTGACTCTAGGCCTCAGATTTTGCTATTTACCTTTTTCTTTTCTCCTCGTAACTGAAGCTGTCCCTAGAAATTGGGTTTTCTGTAATTCAAACTCTTAAAAGACAGAAAAAAACACAAGCATGAGGTCCATTATATTAGGCCATACACCATAAAAAGAGTGTCCGTGTAAACTTGTTTGAACTTGTTTGAAAACATCTCCAGCAATGTATTAAAAGATTTTTTTTTGTGTAAAATATGTATAATGTGTAAAAAAAAATTTATTTTCAAGAGTATGATAAAATACAATGTCACCTCACTAATGTATAAATTATTGTGTATTTTACATAATATTTATACACAGCCACATCAGCATATTGTTCATCTTCTTTTTCTTTTCCATTAACGAATCAATCCTATGTTAAGAAGGTTTGTAAAAGTTATGTGGAGTCTTGGGCATGACACCTGATTGGTTGTTATTGACAGATATTAAACGAAAGGTATTAAAAAAAATTAAAAAAATTTGCCGGACCTAAAAATAATTAGTCCAAATTTTTTTGTATAAATTTACTATGACACATCATATTTATACATAAAAAATATAAACAACCATTGGAGATACTCTAAGGCTTATCAAAATTAAGTGTGAAATCTTGAATTTCAATATTGAATCCCAGTCCTTTAAATTTTTTATCTCAGTCCTTTAAATTTTTTATCTCATGCATGTTAAGTAAAAAAATTTTCCCCCATATTTAGAGAGACAATTGACTCATAATTTTAGTTGTTCAAGGTTATAAGAAATTCTTCCACACCATGTATAATGATTGTAAGATTTTTTGTTACTTAACGTTTTTAAACTTAGATCATGATCACCATATTTGGTGAGGTGAAAGTACTCAACTTTGTGCAAGAGATCATTTCTCTGTATATAACTTTTACAAAATGGTGAGTAAAAAACTTTCTCCTCCAAGTATAGTAAAGGTTAAATGTGGTTTAAGTATAAAAAAGATAGGACCAAAAAAAAAAATACCAATCATATCCGATGTTAACATGCTTGGTATGGATAAATTTATTACTTAGCCATGAGCAAGAGAATATATCTATGTGTGTGTGTGTGTATTTGATATTTACTCCACTTCGCTCTTGCAGGGACTTTAATTAATGAAGAAATTTTTTTAAAGGATACACTAAACTCAAAAAAACACATTAGAATTAAGGAAAAGAAAAAGGACAATATTTAAGTCCTTAGTAGTGAGGATATACAACATAATGACCACTGAGGTGGATCAATAATAAATGGATATGTCATCTTTAATTACCAAATTAAAGAGGGTGGATAAATACTCACTTACCAAATTAGAAATAGTAATTTGATTACCATTTATGATTTGGTAATTAAAATAGGATGTATCCATTTATTATTGATCCACGGTCAGTATGTTATTGATCCTCACCAATGAACACCTAAGTATTGTCCAGAGAAAAATAGGAAAGAATCTTGTATAAATGGAAGATCATCGAGGGGCAGATGTACACAATATGTAAGCCTTACTCTCCACAGTGAGAGAAACTGTTTGCTTGTTTTAAACCGGTGACTTCTAAAATTACAATGGAGCAATGTTATTGTTGCGCCACACCCTCGAAAAAGAATCCTATACGTATAATATAAAACATGTAATTTACTTAACCAAAAGAAAATGTAAAATCATTATTTCTTAAAGTCACCTTGACTTCTTTTTTTTTTTTTCGAGCCACCTTGACATTTTACTAGCCCATGAATGAAATTTTAGTATATATATGTATATATATATATGAAGGTGAAATAATCTGAGATGTGTATGTGTGTGTTTGTATGTGAGATAGAGAGAGAGAGAGAGGGCATAAAACACAGTAGCATATCTTTGAGTCAGCCACCTCAGGGGCCTGTCAATTTTCCACAATTATGTTGTTGCTGTTGCTATCCATGTAGACAGAGAAAGAGGACAGGAGAGAGAAAGAGAGAAGGGGGTAGACATGCACGGCTACGGATTTCGAATTTTATGTGTAGTTATAGTGGGAACGTCACCGTTTGACAAGTTGGATGGGAAGGTGGGACTTAAAACCAGGGAATAGAACTTAGAGAACCTTCTTCCCCTGTAATGACTGCTACCACACCACTAGTAGCATCCTAATTCCTAGCCATACATATATATCATTTATTTGATGCTAAAGTTTATACCAATTTAAGGTATTTTAATCCTTCAAAATAAACTAATCCACTAAAGATAACAACTTTATTTCCAAAAAATTAGGAATTACAAAGTTAGGATTGTAAGCATCTATTGCTAATAAACAAGCTCATAATTTGGTGTATATACGATTTATTTGATGCTAAAGCTTGTAGCAAGTAAGGAAATATAATCCTTCAAAATAAACTAATCCACTAAGATATATAACAACTTTATTTCCTAGAATTGAGTTATAAAGTTGGGGTATTTAAGCATCTAGTGCTCATCAAGCTCACAATTTGGAAGGCAGTAAGAAGAATCGAATTAGGAATACATCAGAAAGTACAAGTATGATACGATACAAACACAAAAATATTATAAATTTTAGAGGAAAAAAAAATGACCTAAGTACTTTACAATTAATATGTCAAAAAATAAAAAAATAATATATTATTGTTTGAATATGAAATACAATTTTTTTCCTCCCAAACTTAGAGTTAGATGTTTGTTGTTTTTTGTCTTTTAAATTTATATTATTTTTGTAATTAACCCATAACATATTTTAAATTGCATCAACTCCGATTCTTCAAAGAAAAATAATTATAAAAGCACTTCGCCGTATCCTAAAAAAATTCATGCCGTGTCTCAATCTTGTCCAAAAAATAAAAATATAATATATTATTGTTTGAATATGAAATACAATTTTTTTCCTCCCAAACTTAGAGTTAGATGTTTGTTGTTTTTTGTCTTTTAAATTTATATTATTTTTGTAATTAACCCATAACATATTTTAAATTGCATCAACTCCGATTCTTCTAAGAAAAATAATTATAAAAGCACTTCGCCGTATCCTAAAAAAATTCATGCCGTGTCTCAATCTTGTCCAATTAGAAAATAAAATATTCAAATTTCAGGACACTTCTAGTCACGTCTTACGAATATGTGATACTACCACAGAACCCTTGGAAGAAGTGTTTGTGCTTCTTGAACCATTGCTTAGTACAACGCGCTAAAAGTTTATGAATTTAAACACAAACATATGTTCTCTCCGCCCCAAAATAAGTAATCAGCTCTCCATTTTCATCCATCACAAAATAAGAGTCCCATTTGAAAAGTCAATGTACTATTTTTTATAATATTATCAATTTAACTTTCTTACATTGAACTTATAAAAAATAAACCACCAAATCACTCTGAACCCATTGGGGTTAAATTTGATAATTCATTCACTACTAATATAATAATAAAATAATAATAATCATTCAGAGACTAGGTTTATATGATTCCTATCTTCTCTTCCCATAACATTACATAATCAACACCATGCAAGGGCCTTTGTCATAGAGATTATGGGTATGCTTGATTTGTAACTCTGAAAATGGTTCTAGATCATAAACTCATAAAACAATTTTCAATAATTATAAAAGACTTTTATCTAAAAACATGCCTTTTATAATTGAATTTTCATAAAAATAATTTTCAAAAAAACTGAACCAAGTAGAGTATTTGTACAGTTTTCTAATTTTCAATTCTCTGAAAATATTAAATAGCTTTCAGACAAACCAAACCGGGCCTATATAGCTCATATCCGACCACCAACCCTAGTGAAAGTGGAGCCCTAATACATTATATATCATTTCCACTTAATATTACAATAATATTACAATCAAAAATCTTTTCATATTGGAAGTGGGGAAAATGAAAAGTTTAACTTATCCTCAATCTAGTGGAAATCAGGCTGGTCTAATTAGATTTGTGCTAAGTGTGCTTGTACAAATTAAGTTTAGCCAATAAGCTTGCAGTAACAATGTACAGCTCTTTATTTGGTAATAAGACACACCCTACCAAATGTCTAATTAGCCCTTGGTATAAATCATGGCTCATGTGGACACAAAAGGTTGTCATTGTAAATTCAAGTACTGGCCAAGCTCTTTTTAGTTTATGAATAAACTATGTTCTCTAAAGTACACTATATGGTTCATATAATTTGAATTAGATTTGGTCCCATTCCATGCATCCACTAAAAATTCCCACCATTTTACAAAATCTTCATGACAAAATGTTGGCGGGGAAGTCGTCACATCCAGTGGCGGTTGGGTCATTTTCCGGCGAACCCTAGCCACCACTATACTTTCCAAGTGGGAGGAACATAGGATAATATAAGTGGAAAGGATATTAAAGAATGTGCTACCCAAAGCATCTGTACAAGCACATCAATCAATTCCTTTTTCCTCCCCATAAATATGGTTATCATGGGCTTGTGTTGAAACACTCACAAGTCACAAGGGCTACACACATCATCTAGAGTAGTACTACTACTACTAATTCCATTCCATTTCTCTCTTGTGAGAAAAATATTTTCACCAAAAAAAAAAGAGAGAGAAAATGGTGAAGTTCTCTAAGCAGTTTGAGGGTCAGCTTGTTCCTGAGTGGAAAGAGGCATTTGTTGATTATTGGCAACTCAAAAAGGACCTCAAGAAATTCCATCTCCAAAACAATAACAACTCACCAAACAAGCAACAAGCAAGCTCTTTACCAAACACCCTCTTTTCCTCCCTTAGGAAGTTCACTCTGTTTGGCCATCAACATAGAGAACATGGGGTCATTCAAGTACTCTCTCCCTCTTCCTTTCCCTCTCCCTACATGTGTATATTTTAAGTATATGGTAGTGTGCATGTTATGTTGTGACATTTGAATGAGTCTTTACTGATAGTAAGTGGTTAATTTTATGGTGTTGATCAGGTTCATACGAAACTCGGATCCTCAGCTAGTAAAGGGGACATGTATGAGACTGAATTGCTAGAGCAATTTGCTGACACTGATGCTGCTAAGGAATTCTTTGCTTGTTTGGACCTCCAACTTAACAAAGTGAATCAATTTTACAAAGGAAAAGAGAGAGAGTTCCTTGAGAGGGGGGAATCACTGAAGAAACAAATGGAGATTCTCATTGAGCTTGAAATCGCGCTTAAGAAACAGCGCGAGAAAGGAGCTTCTTCCCAGGATCCCAAGGAGGATGAGTCCATTTCAGGCACCATTTCATGTGGTATTTACCCTACTCTGTTTCCATCAAAGAGAAATGAAATGCATGTCAACTTGGTCTTTGGTATTCATTTGAGAGTCATTTCACCTCTTTCTGTTTTTACATTTGATCAATAATATTCCTTAATTAAAGAGTAGCATATTTTGAAAAATCACATTGTTTTGTCACAGTTATGCATACATATCTATACATCACCTAATATGTATATATATGTATATAAACTTGATAGAAGTTTCAATGTCCACTTTTATGGTACAATGGCAATACATTCCATGCTTTCTTGAGCTCCATTTACAAGACAGAATTACTCTGTTCTTGATAGAAGCTAATTTTGTTCAATGTAGTACCATTGTGGAGGAAAAGGAAATTTTAAATTAAAACAGATTTTTTTTTTTTTTTTTATGAGTATGAGTCCTTAATTTGTCTCTCTTAAGTTCTTTTGTACAAATTGATCAAATTTTGATATGTTATATGTTTCTTTTTATGTTTTTTGGATGCAGATGAAGAGTCCATTAGGGACAAAACAGAGCAAGAACAGGAGCAGGACAGCACAGTAGATGTGTTCAACAAAAATGATGCACAATTCATAGACTCTCCAAAATCAGATGACATGGAAAAATCAATGAGAATGAAAAGGGATGATGGGAAGATGAGAACTCTCTCGGCTCGGGCTTTCAGTTTCCAAGGGAAAAACTTAAGAATAAATATTCCTCTGACGAATCCAACCCGCACCTTCTCAGCAGTCAGTTATTTACTTTGGGATGATTTGGTCAATCAGTCCTCAAAGAAATGTGGCCCAGAAGGAAGTAAGCTTCACATCAACAAAAAAAAGCTTCGCCACGCAGAGAAGATGATTAAAGGAGCTTTCATTGAGCTCTATAAAGGGTTGGGTTACCTTAAAACCTATAGGTATTGTTTCCATGACTAATATAATCTCAAAACTTAGCTTCCGCTCTCATTCATGAAAACGTTTATTTATTTATTTATTTATTTATTTTGAATGGTTTTCAGGAACTTGAACATGCTTGCTTTTGCAAAGATTTTAAAGAAATTTGACAAAGTAAGTGATGTGCTAACTTTTTAGTCTTCAAAACTTTCAAGCTACTTTCTTTTTCCTTGAATGACCTTTTCAATTGTGGCTTCTTTCAGGTCACTAACAAAGAAGTCCTTCCCATTTACTTAAAAGTGGTTGAGAGCTCCTATTTCAACAGCTCAGACAAGGTAAATCACTATGCCAAACAGCCACTAAGGCGAAAACATCTAGTGCTCATGAAGCATACCTGTATCATCAAAACATATTTTCATGATCTTTTGATTGGAAGATGATTGGATGTGGGAGCACCTGACATCCCATCATCAAGTTATTCTTAGACAGCATTTAGTGGCCATCGACTAGTAAAGTGTATCTCCCCACGAGGGAAGGCCTTAGATATTCATGGATGGAGCTAAGATATGCTTGTCTGACACTACATTGGAACACAGATTCAGAAAACCAGTTAAAACTTCTAATTAGTTTCATTAATAATACAGGATATGAAGTTAGCAGATGAGGTTGAGGATCTATTTGTCAAACACTTTGCGGAAGATGACAGAAGAAAGGCCATGAAATACCTTAAACCGACTCAGCCTAAAGACTCACATGCAGCAACCTTCTTCATAGGTGAGTTTCTTCCAAATAATTCTGGTTAAAGTGAATTTAAAATATACAAAGTAGTGTTCCAAGATATCATATAATTATTGACCAACTTTTTGAACCATTTCTTTCAGTAAAGATGTTGTGTAATTGTTCTTTTTGTGACTATTTCACCATGTAGATACAGAGAAAACAAAAGAAAAAAGGATGAAACTATGAGCCCACTAGGCCACTAGACACTGAGTCAAAGGGGTGCACCAGGTCCACTTTTTTAGAGGTGGGATGGTAAAGTTGAGGGCCCATGGGAGCCATTATCATGCGATTGGAAATCCTCTAGTTTCCGCATGGTTTGAACCTTAAAAATGCCATAAAAAAATTTTTAAAAAAAAGAAGAAGAAGAAGAAGACAGCATTACCTAGTTTCCCTAGTGTGGTTCCAAGCTATGTTGCATGAACACTTCTAATTGAAAACAATTGCCCATGTAGGGCATGTAGACACAACATTTATTCTAGTACTTGTGCTCTTGCATTGAGTTTGCATTTATGTGTGGCCTACCTAAAAGATGGATGTCACCGGGACAAAAAATGCATTATCAAGCTCATTAGGCCTTTGTTCATGATTATAATGAGGAAATAGAAATTTGATTATAACGATTACATACCATTCAACTCTGTCCTCAAAACCCTTGTTTTAAATTTTCAAATTTTGTTGGATAAGTTAGTTTATATGTAAAATTCATGGTCTTTTGAACTCAAGAATGGATGGAAACTAAATTAACATTTTATTTTATATATAAACAGGGCTATTCACTGGAGGTCTCATCGCGCTTTTTGCTGGATATGTCATCATGGCTCATGTCATGGGGATGTACAGAAATCAAGCAGATACAATTTACATGGAAACTGTTTATCCTGTACTTAGGCAAGTATCCGTTATCTTCATATTCTTGATATCACCTTTAATATCAATTTGAATTTCAGAAAGAATGAAAGGAAGATCTAAATAAAGTATTTATGCATAGTTCTGTAGATTTTAAATATTTGTTACATATATTAATATGAACAAATTTATAATTTTGCAGCATGTTCAGCCTATTGTTTCTACACCTATTTTTGTATGGATGCAATATTTTTATGTGGAGGAAAGCTCGTATAAATCATAGCTTCATCTTTGAGCTGGCCCCGGCAAAGGAACTTAAATATAGAGATGTGTTTCTGATCTGTACAACATCAATGACTGCTGTGGTGGGAGTGATGTTTGGTCATTTGGCACTTGTGGCAAAAGGGTATTCCTACACTCAAGTGAAAGCCATCCCCGGATTTTTGCTACTGGTAATTTCTTGATCTTACAGCTTATTATGAAGAGATAAAAGTATAAACACCTTCATATCGTCCAATAATTTTCATTAAAATATCTCCATTTCTTGAATTGGTCATAAACAAAAAAGTTTTAACTCTTTCCATTTGCACAGGCCTTCTTGCTACTGCTTGTGTGCCCCTTCAATATCGTATACAAATCAAGCCGTTACTGTTTCCTTCGAGTGATAAGGAACATCATTCTATCACCACTCTACAAGGTAATCCCACTTTCAACTCTCTCACTTATGGATGTTGCGAAAAATGTTTCTACTTTTTAGAGGCATTCAATAATTTCAGTACATGTTTTGATTTTTAAGACCTAAAACATAGTATCTTTATTGTCTTATTGATTAATTAATTCTCTTTGCAGGTCGTCATGCTGGACTTCTTCATGGCTGATCAACTTTGTAGCCAGGTAATTAAGCTTAAGCACTTGTATGTGTACTTTCTTTGTGAGCTATTAATACCAATATATGTGATTGTTACTATAAAAACTTTATTATCAAACAGGTACCAATGCTGAGAAACCTTGAGTACGTAGCGTGCTACTATATAACAGGGAGCTTCAAAAATCAGGACTATGGATATTGCATGAGGACCAAAAATTACAGGGATCTTGCTTATGCTGTCTCTTTCCTACCTTATTATTGGCGGGCAATGCAGGTTTAGTACAAAGCTCTCTGTCTAAGACAGTTTCTTGTATTTTCAATTTTCATTTCTTAACAAATTGATAGAGATTAGTGTCTAAAAGAATTTTGTTAATTGGATTTGTAGTGTGCTCGTAGATGGTTTGATGAAGGACAGACAAGCCACCTTGTCAACTTAGGCAAATATGTGTCTGCAATGTTGGCTGCTGGTGCCAAAGTGGCTTATGAGAAAGAAAGGAGTGTGGGATGGCTTTGTCTGCTCGTGGTCATGTCGAGTGCTGCAACAGTGTATCAGTTGTATTGGGACTTTGTCAAGGACTGGGGTTTGCTCCAGTTCCATTCACATAACCCCTGGTTAAGGAATGAATTAATGCTTCGACAAAAGTTCATTTACTACTTCTCCATGGTATATTTGATGTCTCTCTTTCCCTCACTCTCTCAGAAGAATGATGTATTATGTTCTTATGGTTCATTCATTACAATTTTCACTCATCTTTATCAAGCTGCAATTGTTGATAGTACATATTGCAAGTGATTATTAGCAAACAACCGGCTTTTAGGACCATTGACAATGAATGGACACAAAAAAAATTCGTGTTACTACTATTTTTGAAATGACTAGTACATTGCAAGAACAATGCAAAGGTTAATCCAAGTCATGTTTTACAAAAAAGTAGAAGTCTAGGAGGCTTTCCGAAACAATTTTTGTCCTCCTCCAATTCCAAAGAAGATGTTATACTAAAGTACTTTGATATGCCTTGCAGGGACTGAACCTTATTCTGAGACTTGCTTGGCTACAAACTGTTATGCATTACAATTTTGGAAGTGTTGATTACAGAGTTACCGGGCTATTTTTAGCAGCCCTTGAAGTGATTAGGAGAGGACAATGGAATTTCTACAGGTGACAAACTGAAAACGAAACATCTGAAGTTTCATTCTATCGAAATTCTTAGTTTGCATGTGCTGACATTCTTGATTAACACTTGTTTGCTGGTCCAGGTTGGAGAATGAGCATCTAAATAATGCTGGTCATTTCAGAGCTGTGAAGACAGTACCACTTCCTTTTCATGAAGTGGATGAAGAAGACTGATGCCCATTAGCAACAGTCGCGGTGACAGAATACGATTCAGGGTCACGGATGTTCTTCCACCCTGTGAGATTAGACAAAAAGAACCTCATTGTCATCATACAAGTTGATGTAACATGACTGCATGACTCCAACTTGTCTATCATTGTTCGAATCAGATTCGCGGAAATAATTTATACTTGTATACAGAATTTTCTTCAACAAGTATAAAGAATGATGCTTGCCCTTGTAAATTTCTAGTTAACACCTTGTTACAAGTTTTTAACTTTTGCCACCACCTATCTGTCAATTCCTGTTTAGATTGTCAAGAGAGAGTCTGTTTGGTCATGCCCTGTTTCATTGAGTTGGGGCTTGTTTTGCATATTACTTGACAGCTGAAATGTAGCTAATCTGCATATGTAATGCACAGATAGTATCATTGTTGGCTCAAAGATTAAGCAATTTCTTTTGTACAATCTTTTCCCAGATTATGGTTTTGTTTTTTCGTTTTTTTTTTCTTTTTTTTTTGGGTGTACAGTTCATCATTGGATGAATTTGAATCTACATACCAAATTGATTTTTCTGACCTGGAACAATTGTTGCTAGAATAAAATTATGATTAAACTGGCTAAACAAATATTTGCAGACTAAGTTTAAGAAGAACTGAGTCTGCAAATTATTTGGACAAGATGCACCATATGCGTATGAATGAGCTGTTTGCGACGAGAGAGTTCAGAAATGAAAATTGCTAAATTTATAGGTATTTCATCTTTATTAAGCAATTCGAATACGGTGAAAACTATAAGCACTTTACTATTTGCTTTACTATTTAAACATCTCATGCTGCGAGAGGCAATGACGAAATCGATGAAATGAGTGCAATGCGAGAAATGTAATGCCAAATGCACAGCTAGAGACCAACAAGTATCTGAATCGTTAACTTTCAATTGAAACAACAAAATTGCACTATGTTTTACAATTTATGTGAAGCAGCACTTCTCATGGCAATCACCTTCATGAGAATACAAGTAAATAATGGTACATTAGGATCAAGAGCACTGTTATACTTCTCAATACAAGTTTACGTGTTGATGGCTCTGGGCGATTCGCTACAAACAGAACATGATGTTGAAGATACCATGAATCCTGGTAAGAAGCCTTGATGGACGGTTTGAAATAGGAAGACATGAAGGTGGTGGTGATGGTGGGTCTGGTTTGTTCTTCTGCCTCCTTCTTAGTTGGAAGAATTGCTGCATTACATCTGCACACTCTGATGTCAATACCCCTCGTCGAATTGTCATCTTCGGGTGAAATGGGTGGACTGGAGCAGCTGACTTATCAGTCGGGTCAAGGCCAGCTCCTTCTGCCCCATTAGGAAAGAGCCTGCAAAATGTTGGTTACAGGTCAAAACACAGGGAACATTAAAAGGTTTCCTATTGTACCCGCCCGCAGGAACAGAAAATGAGTTTTTCTTTTCAACTAATTATAAACACAACTTTCTTTTCTTTTCTATATAAATAAAAAAGAAGGAAAGAAAGAAACAAGAATTTGAATACCTAATCCAGCTGCCATCAGCTCCAAGAAGCTTATTGGGAGCTCCCCAAACAACAGTATTGATTCTAGCTCCAAGAATAGCTCCAGCACACATAGGGCATGGTTCAAGTGTTACATAAAGTGTAGTCTCCTGAATGAATAGGGAATTGAGCATTAATATAGAGAGAAGGCCGCTACTGTAAAGCTCTGCTATAAATCATAAACAACATATATATATATATATATATATACATATATATGAAGTATCAAATACTAGTCATGAAAGATTTGCTTAAATTTTTGGGGTCACTTTATAGCTTAGACAACCAATATATTGAAAAGTGTAGTATAGCAGCTTATAGAATCTCTATTAGGGTATATAAAGACCAAGGCCAACATCTTATGATCATTGAAAATTATTTCTCACTCCTTGCCTAAAACAGCATGTTCAAATTTTTGGTACCTGGATGTTCTATGAAAATAAGATTCTTTGGTTTCAACTTCCATAACATCTTAGTGGTATAATCCAGGACAATTCAGAAGCATATTATTCAAGGATAGAAATCCAAGTTTAAATGCTATTGAAAACTAAGGTAGACTTGTCTGATACACAATGGGACAATTTCATTTCGATTACAGTCTATATGTAATCTCTCTCTCTCTCTCTCTCTCTCTCTCTCTCTCTCTCTTAAAATGTGCACATAATAGCACTAGCATTGGTGATTCCAAATTCAATTAGTGTAGCCAGTAAAAATTAACACTTGTAGGCACAAAACTATGATAGTCGCTTTTGGGTTTTTAGAAGCATAATAACAATTTCTTATGAAAAGATACCTCAAAAGGTCACTTCAGCATTTTGAGGGATGGAGCAGCATCAGCAGCCATCTTATGGCAGATACAACGGGCAAACCCAATGCTAACTCCAAATTTTGTTTTCATTCATTATTTGTCTTTCTAAGAATATTATATGCAGGAAGATGCAAATGTTTCCAAGGAACCTGATAGATAAACTAGAACAGAACCACAGTACTGTCATACCATTCCTAGATCACCTGTATGACAATTTCCACTTCATACAACCAAAGCAAGTGAGTATATCAGTTTCAAGCTAAACATGACCACTGAAACTGGAGCTTGGTTTAATTCTCCACAGTTGAGATAAAACATACATGGACAAGGGCCATTCTATACAGGCCAGCACTAACTTCACATTCAATATGGTTTTGTGATAGAAATAGCACCACAGATGCAAACTTTGTTTATAGCACAAGCACTGAATATGTTAGCCGTTTAACGGAGCATGAAGTACAATAATAAAATTATGAAAAGTTCAAGGTTGAGTTGACTTAAATTTAAATGAGTAAAAAGAGAGGGAATTACTGAGAGCCTCCATGTCCGAAGTAGGTTTGAAGCCTCCCGTATACAAATCATTTCTGCATGGGCAGTGGAGTCACGTAATTCTTCAACTCTGGGTACATTTGCTAATAATTAGTTACCGAAAGAGGAGTAAACATTTAGCCAAGCAAAAAAAAAGGTATAAGCTAGTGAAACTTACAGGTTGCATCCACGAGCAATTATTCTTCCATGTTGTACAAGCACAGCCCCAACAGGAACCTCCCAGGTATCGGCAGCCTTTTTGGCTTCCAATAGTGCTTCCCTCATAAACATTTCATCAGTTTTTCGCTGCTCAGTTTCAAGTGTATATGCTTCTTCCCATTCATCAAATCTATCTTTCATGACTTGATCGTTTCGTTGAAGTTTCCTTCTTTTTAATTCCACATGCTTCCCCTCAGCTCCTGGTGCTTTCAACAAACCAGCATCAATTGGTTGCTCCATCTGCACCATTACACCACTGCCAGATATATCAGTTTTACCAGCCTCAGAAATTTCTATGACAATGGGAGATCTTCTTAGTTGCCTAGCAGCCAATGGTGATGATTCCACTATTGCTGTTTCAGAAGAGATACCTTCAGATTTCTTTCCATCTTCCTTCCAACCAACAGTTTCCTCACCAGAACCTACAGAAGTACTTTTGGATGCTGAGCCGCTTTCTAAAATACTTGAAGATGATATTGTACCCATTCCTACGTGCCTTATTTTCTCCGTTGAGCTTGTTGAGCTGGACCCTTCTCCTTGATCTTGAGCAGAAATTTTTCCCACTTGTTGCAGATCAGCGGATGTGGCTTCTTGTGGCTTGTTTTTCTTATCCTTATTTGCATTCTCATCATTGCTTTCATCTGGCTCCTGACCAGAAAACCATGTCTCACTGCTATTTGACTGGTTTGATGAAGTCCTTCCACCTGACTTCGCAGTCGAACTCTGGGTTTCAGATCGAGCCCACCGCAGTCGAACGATATCTCCAATGATATTCCACAAGGACCTACCGGTTCTCTTAGCAATGGCATTCCCAGTAGTAGTGGTGACCTCTGGGATTTCAGCATCGGGAGTGCCCTGAATAGATGGGTCTGTCACATCCCACATGTCATCTGAAGGCCCTTTTGTTCCAGAACTCTGAGATGAATGCCTAGACTCATGCTTCTTTGCCTGAGAGTCTCCAGAACCATACTGACTCTTTTCTCCTTTGGACACCAACATCATTTCAGAAGTTTTCTTCTCCTTTTGGGTTTCAGAAGTTGAAATTTCATGCCTTACCTTCTCAACAAACTCACCAACAAAGTGCATGGAAGATTTCTGTAACCGATCAGCTGAATCCAGTGCACCTTCATGGGAGACAAAGTTTAAAGGCGTTTGATAAGTCTCTCCCCCTCTCGATCCACCATATATTTCGTGTTGCATGGCAGGAGAACTCACTTGTGAATGTGTATGTGAGACACCATAGTCACTTTCTATACATTCACTAGGTTCTCTTTCTACCAATTGAGATGGGGGAGCCGTTACTATTGCCTGTGAGCTTCTCTTATCTCCCTTGTCACCAGTTTGTTGCACCATACCTTGAGGTTGCAAATGCAAATCTGCTTGGGAACTAGAAGTCCCTTTTAACATGCCCTCGCTGAAACTCAATGCTTGAGCTGATACCTGATCCTCTTTTCTTGATTCACTTGGCAACACTCTTTCATCAGTTAGATTATGTCTTTCTCGGGTTCCTTCAACTGATTTCACTACTGATGATGAATATATTTCTTGACTACTCATTCTCTTTTCAGAAGTCTTTTGAGAAGTATTGACTTTTTGAGTATCAGTGGAGTGAACCATCGATATATTGGAAACATCAAGAGATTCTCTTCCCGATTCCATTCTCTTAATAGGCTTCAAACGTGTTTGCAAGTGTTGCTCTTTCTCTTCAGGAAATGAACTAAAAACAAAGTTTGAACTATCTTCCTGCTTCATTCTAGTGTCAGACTGGTTCTGTATAGTGGACTTGTTTCCAATATTGATGGCGTGTGTATCTGATATATCAGTTGATTGGCTGGATTTTCTTGTTGTGGCCCATTGACCTGCTCGGCGGTGTTGGTCTTCTGTATCCTGAACAAAATTCAGAACCACAGTTGAATTGTCTTCCCGATTCTTCATTCTAGTTTCAGACAGCCTCTCTGAAGTGGAGGTCCCTCTAATATTGATTTCTTGAAAATCTGATGCATCAGTGATTTGTTGGGACTTTCTTCTATACTCATCTTGTCCTTTGGCATGGCCAGCTGTTTTAAAATGCTCATCTCTTCTTTCCTGAACCAAACTCACAGCTACAACTTCAATTCCTTCTTTGCCCCCGAATCGCTTCTGGGAGCTGGAAGTCATTTCAACATCACCGCCATGGATCTCTGGCGTCTGTTTATTTTGTTTATATTTCATTCTTGATTTGGAATCTATAACTTGGTGACCTGTTTGACTATGTTGGTGTCTTATGCCCTCTTCAATATTCATTGCTGAGGTTGATTTCTCTTCTCTATCATCATATTGCTTGTGATAATCAGGAACCTTTCCATAACTAGTTTCATGGACCTCTAACAATTCTGATTGCTGTTGTGATGATCCCTTTCTAGACAGGGTATGTTCAGTAGATTCTTCTCTAAGCTTCTTCTCTGACTTTTTCCTCCAGTTAGAGTCAAAATTGCTCAATGTTGCATATGACCCTACTGCAGTATTTTCCTGTTTCAAGACCGCTCCATGTCCCTCTGCAACATCTATATGCCTCTTCACCTCTTCCGCAACTTCCCTATTAAATGTGGCTTCCCCACTCCCTCTTGGAACCCTCTTATACCCACTCAATGGTTCTTCATCAAAGCCATCATACTCAACCCGAACTTTGTCATCGCTCTCTAATTCATCCAAAGAAGAAAATGAGTAGTATGATGAATGGCTAGATCCTTCTTTCCTCAACCTACAATTCTCACTCCTCAAACAGCTCTCCTTATCCTCCTTTTGTCTATCTGATTTCCGTCTACAATCCTCTTCCCTAGACTGAATTGTAACCGATTCAAATTCACACTTTGAATTGCTCTCCAACAAACCAGAATCAACATTTTTCTTTTTACGCCTATAACAATTACCACCACCGCCATTAGCCCTCTCCTCCACTTTCACCCTCCTAGATGAACTATCATTTCTCTCCCTAACACCAAAACACTCCTCACTTATATTTTCAGTCAACAAGCTAAGCATCGCTTCCGCTTCATCCACGTCACTCAAATGGTGCCTTTTGCTCCTTTTTTCCGGAACAGCACAACCAAACCTCCCCTCTCTCCACCTCCCTCTTCTACCACCAACATTCCTCTCCTTAAGAGACCATGAATTTCCATAATAACATTTTTTACGAACATCATGAATTGGGGAGCGGTATAAGTACCCTTCTCCACCACACAAGATCAGCCTTCTAGAAGCTGACCATTGAATTAGGGTGGATTGCTTCAGCCCAGATAAAAAGCTAGGGTTTATGGGCACTCTATATATGGAATTTGCACAGCAAGGACAACATGATGATGATGATGATAAAGGAATAAAATTTCTATCAAACCCATCATTCAATAAGTGAAAGTAATCATTTGATGAAAATGAAAGAGACCCTTTGCACCTAAGTGATACAGTTGAGCTAGCATAACTGTTATACATCTCCTTGTGCTTTAGAGAGAGGGACAGAGGATCTTACCTTGATATAAGAAGTGGGTTTTGAAGGATTTGTCGAATTGGTGAAGCTGAATCTATGATAAAGTCCACGTGATCTGCGTAGATCAGATTGCTGAAGTGAGAGTCTCAGGTTTTTTGGTTTATGGCTGGGTTAACTCAGCTAGTTGCCCATCTAGATCAAGGTTTTCAACTCGGTTGAGTTGGTGTCAAAACACTCCAGACGCAGCATCCAGTAAGGGAGGTACGGGTTGTTTGCCTTGTTGGAAATCCAATCCAAAAGTATATCTTTTAAATAAATAACCTCCAAAGGTAGAGAAAGGCCAAAAGGAGATTCATCTTCTATTTTTTTTTTTTTTTTCATTATCATAATCATACCATGTTCATCTATTTAAGTGAATTTTTTTGCCCTCGGGACATAACAGTATGGGTAGGGATTCGGAAAAATAAGAGACTTTGAGGTTTCGCTTTTAAATCGCACTCCTAACTTTAATGATAAGTTTGTTGTTATGCCAATACACTTGGTCTAAGAAAAAAAAAAATGTGAACTTTTCAATAATCTAACTATAGTTGTAATGGAAATTTTTTTATTTTTTTACTTACATTTTACTCTTGAAAAGACTTGAATCCTTTCCCTTTTTTTACCATTAAATTACTAGCTATAAATAAATAAGGTAGACTAGTTACCTTCCAGACTTCCAGTCACTTTTATTATATTAAAAATGAATTGAATGCATATTTAAAAAAAGGTACTATTATTAAGGAAAATATTACTAAGTAGGTTAGCAGACATTTCATTAGCATTTTTTCTTTTTTTCTTCTTTTTTTTTTTTTTCTTTTTTTTTATACGTACACACCCTATCTCCACCGAGGTTTGAACCCCCGACCTCCCCTTTGGGAAGGACCATTTGATCCTTTGGTCATTAGAATAATTTTATAATAGCTAATAGGAGACATCCTTCTTGACATGAGATCAAATCAATGGTGAAATTTATTTTGTTTTACATTTAACTAATAAGATTTTTTTTAGAAAATAATTAACTTTTAGACAACCATGTCATTCAAATTTAAATTTTCAGGCTTGACTCGTTAAAATCAGAATCCTTTGTTAAGTATTTGAGTCAAGTTTAAGCTCATTTTTCAAGTTCGTTTAACAAAAGAGTCAAGCTTGAAATAAAGCTGAGCTTGATTCGTTGGGGAGCTTTGCCTATTAGGTTCATAAACACCTCATAAATTAAGTCCATTGTATATTCGACTCTTACATTTAAAATTCAAGCCCATTTACTATAACTTTAGCCCAAACTTTATGTTTCAAATCCACCTCGTTAAGGCCCATAATACTAATGCACAATATGAAACCATTAGATTGCAAAAAAATTCAACTATCATGGCCAAATCCTACCAACGGACTGTATGTATCTATATATAGAGCAAATTCCATATATATATATATATGTACATATGTGGTATGTACATATAACATATGTACATATAATATAAAAACAAGCTCAATCTAAGTCTAGTCTATCTTTTGGTTAAAGAATTGCAAGGCAAACCTCTGAAACTATCTAGGGTTTGCTCGAACACAATCCGAGCTTCAACAAGCCTTTTTACTCTAGCGGGATTAATTAGATTTATTTGTAGTCCTAAATACTAAATTACTAATAGAGATTACTCTATATCGTTAAATAAAATAAAATAAAATAAAAACGTGTAAATAAAGAGATCAAAGTTACTCATGCTTGGAAAATTCCATAGAAAATATTTTGATACTCCGCATAAGATAGATTAGATATTTTAAAAACAATATATACAATATCAGTCTCCATAAATTATCCAATATATTTGTCCCCATCCAGCCATCGTTGTTTGTGCTATCTAGTGTGTCGCAAATTGATTGAATAAGTAGGGTTAGTTGGCATGACATGTGAATTTTAAAATCTCTGGAGTTGACAATTTCAATTAGGTGAGGATGTACCCCGAGTGGATTTGTGTAGATGTCACACAAATATTTTTTTTTTATCAATATATATATATATATATATATATATATATATATATATTATCAAAGAAATCTTCCAAGATATAATGATTTGATTTTTGAAGATAATATATATAAATTTTATAAGACGTACACAATGATGAGTGATTTACTATTACACATGTGCAGAGGTTTTTTTTTTTTTTTTTATAATACTGGTTGTCTCATGTCTGCAATAAAAGAACCTACATTCTCTACTATAGATATTGTATTTACTAACTAATTAATATCACATTTATTTTAAAAAGTACATATATAATGTTTCGGTATTTGCAGAGGAAAACTTATTTAATTTTATTATATACGAAGAAGTCTTAATAATAATGTTAATTGGAAACATGGAAGAAAATTTTTGAAGCGGAAGACCTAAAAATAAATAAAACTAAAACAAAATAAATTAAATATAAATTTGATAAAGAAACAATAAAAGGACAATATAATTATTACTCCGTACAATTCAAGACCATGGAGTTATTTAAAATAACTACTTTTTATTATTGAGGGTCATTATTATAAAAAGTGGTATAATAACTTGGAAATAATTAGGATTGGAACAAGATGGGCAAAATGGAGACAACTAGTTGTATCCTATGTGACAAATAAACTAAAAGAAAATTTTTATACAACAGTTATTAAGCTAAGAAACAAAAAATCATGTAATAAAAACGAGGTTGTTAAGATTAATGATGAAAGTGACTAAAAGAGATACGATTACTAAAGGAGAAAATTAAGGATAACGTTATTAAAAAAAAAGTAAATTTAAATATATAGCATGGTTATACATAACTAAATCTAAAGATGCATTGGTTAGAAGAGGAGAGTTTGTCTAAAATGTAACCGACAAAGAGCCCAATCAAAATTTACATGAGATGAAGTAATAATATTTTATAATTTTATAATTAAAAGTAATAATAAAATGAGATATGGTCTATAATAGGAATATTAATATTTTTATTTTTTGGTTGGCACCAGAAACTCTCTTAGAAAGGGCTCTTTCGGGACCCACCCTAGGCTACAAATCTGGAGATGTTGTCGACGAAATATTAATATTGATAAAGAGATTTCATATGGTCAATTTTATTTGTATGATATATTATTCTAGAGAAATCACAATATTGCTAGTTTAATATTTAATTCCCTTTTTCATGTCATGATAAACAGCAAAATAAGTCCATAACATAGCAATAATATTTTGTGTCTCAAAAATGTTAAAACTGTCACTAATAATTATATTATTTGAAATGTGATTATTCTACTATTGACAAGAAAATATTATGCTTGTTATTTATTATTACAAGCTTTAAGATGTTAAATAAGTTCCACTCGCAACGTCTTCTTTGTGCTCTGGTTATCTTGACTATTTAGAGGTTCACCTGGCCGGACCCGAATCTAATTATGATATTAATTGTAATGGACGGGGTATTTCGCGATTTGACCTTAAAACTTAAGTTAAAACTAACACTTAATCCACATATTTAAAATAAGGAAAATGATAATTTTGACAATATCTATCTAACGACTTAAAACCGACATAAGATAAAAAATATTAATTTGGCAAGTCACATAATAAACGTAAATGTTCTCTATTGTTCGCACGATCTCCTCTGCTGCTGTCGCCGCCATGACAACCTAATAATAAAGATTCATCTCTTCTTGCGAAATTATCCCAAAATCTCAGAGATATATCCCAATTTCTTTCTCATTGAAAAAAAAAAATCAATTCATGTTTTGAAGCAATTTAGGGCTATAAAACTAAACATTCTTCGTCTTCTTCACCTTATCGGAGATCAGTTTCAGTCCCAAATTTGGCCTTACCTTCGTCGTCTCCAACTTCACCTCACTTGTCGGTGATCTCTCCGACGAGTACTCAATGTTTTTTCCAATACCACTGTCTCGCCCTAATCCTCGTCATCAAATTCGACACCAGTCGGAGCCCAAACAATCACATCAAAATCAACTAATTGAATAACATCGAATCAAAGGCAATTCCTAGATTGAATTTGGGTAATACACGCCTGATCATATGTATTTTTTTATTTATTTTTTATTTCTTTCCAGAATTAGCTATTTGAGAGATATAGAGAATTATTTAATTTCAATTTAGTATCATGCATAGGAAAAAAAATATCAAAGTAGCAATTCTTGGAGATTTTGAATTTAACGACTTAATGAATATACCAACACGAGAAAAGAAACAGCTGGCCCACATAACGAAATACAAATTGATGTCATAATTTTGTAAGTTTTTTACTACTAGAGAGAAATAGCGCTACTCTTAAAATAAACCCAAATTGATTTAGTTTGGGTACTACAATACTCTATTATTATATCTCCTTTGCCCCGAATTATTATCTTTCTCTTAACAATCGAACATTTTTTTGCATCTTGCATGTGCTGCAACATATATATATATATATGCGCCACATAACATAAACTAAACGCACCAGAATAATGCATGTAATCTAAGGTGGGGTCTCATTGCAACTGAAGTGCAGGCAATCATGCATAATGATATATATATATCAATATTTTGAGATGACAAGATGAGTATTCCCCTTTGCTTTTGCCTTGCAGAACTTCTCTCTCTCAAATATATATTGTATTTTATTACAATAAACATATCTTTTAAGGATATAAATTATAATTAAAATTTAAAAGTTACAAAATTAATGATCTCAGTATTTTTTTTTTTTTTTTGTTCGTTGACCATTAACAAATTTGGGATTTGTATTATTTACATATAAATTTTAAGAGAGGCAAGTACAATTTGACAAATAAAAGAGGAGGCCCATAAATATTGATAAAATTTGAGAAAAGGTCAATGTAATTTACTCATATTTCTATCATCCTGACATAAATTTTATAGATTTAAAATAGTGATAATTGGAGAAAAGAAAAAAAAAAAAAACATAAAAGTGATTGCTCAACAAAATTGTCCAATCCAACTAGCTCCCTAGCTAGGAAGCCTCCAACTCTGGCAACGGGGTGAGTATGGAACCGATTTATCTAAATTCGTACCTATTCTATTTAATTATGGACAAATTCACATCTTTCCAATATCTATGATGGGTTTAAATTTCACAATTCATACCCGTCAGTTAGAACATAAGTGTACCCATTCCCGCTCCGTTCTGCCCCGTTTACGTAATTTTTTTGGTGTTATCTATATAAATAAATTGATAAATTCTATGCAATGTAAATACATAATTGATAAATTCTATGCAATGTAAATACATAATAAATTATAAATATATATATATATATATATATATGAACATAATAATGTAGATACATTTATATATACATTTATATTTTAAAACTTGTACCCATCTTGCACCTCGCTACAGGTTTAAAATCTAAATTTATACTTGTCCCCTGCAATACATGATTGATTC